AAGAGGAAGAATATCTCAAAGTACGTTAATTAGGGGTGCTAAACGAGTTAGGGGCCTTTGGCTCGGCTCGTGAAGGCCTGAACTTGCATGTCTAAAATTGGTTGTTGGCATCAGGCTTGAACTTGTATAAAAGCTCGTTGAATAATAAGGCCTCAGGCTCCAATTCAAAAGCTCGGTCTTAGAGCCTCTCATGCCGGCCTAGTATATATTTTTTTTTTATATATATTTTTTATACTACTTGTAATAGCCCTCTCTTTCTCCTCAATCCATTTCATCCTATTTTATTGGTTAAACAGAGTTTTGGAATGATTTTGTTCTATATTATATTGTTTGGATATACTTTGAATTTATGAATATTTATGGAATTACTAGTATTGTTGATTATATATTATGTTTGGATTAATTTTTATTGTCTTATTATTTTAAAACAGGCTAACAGGCTAAGTCAGGCTTTACTTTTTTGTAAATAACTAGGCCACGGGCCAATAATTATATTTATAACAGGTAACAAACTAGGTCAGACTGACACATTTAAACACAGGCTTAGCCTTTTAAGAACAAAGCTCGACTCGGCTCGACCCGTTAACACTCTTAATGTTAATAGTACCTTCTTGCTTCCTAACCAAACAAATTGTTAAGAATTAATATAATATAAAATAATAAAAGTATTTTCACCTAGCGACATAAACTTTTGGGTTGAAATAATTCGACGTTGATATGATATCATAGTTCTATCCTCGTCATATTTTAATAAAAATTCAGCAGCCACACTTAAATCCTAAAAAAGGCTCTTGGCATGATGAGAATGAGATTATCCATGTTTCTATCCTTAAAAAGGGCTCATGATGTGGCGAGCCTTATCACGCCACAAGCCTTTTTATTGATTCTTTACACAAATATTGAAAAACCTTAAGAACAACTAGCATAGATGATTTTCGTCTGTTTATCACATTTGCTTAGAGAAAACAAAGCAAAGTAGAAAAAATAAAACTTGAGATTGACATGTGTTATGGATTGATATAATGGGCTCCTCGCAACCAACCCAAATCACCTCCCTATAAGGAACCCCCTATAAAAGGGGAGTTTCACCTCATAAGTATGCATCTGAAAACCCTTATCATTCCGCACATACACCACTCTCTTTGGCTCTCTGCCATCCTATCGTGTACAGTGATCTCCTCCTCCTACTTGCCATCGTCTTTTCCATAGACACCATCACCTCAAAATCCAACATCAACCCTTGGTCCACCATGACTAACAAAATATACCCAAAATAAATAAAATCTGAGATTGCGTATTTGTTTAATAAAAGCAAACAAAGATTTAAGAAAAAACATTGGACAACAGGCGCATGGGAGAGTAAAATGCTACTCAAATGAGTGCTGCAACAACCAAATGGGGGCAAGAGAATCATTTCACAAAGGAGCTTTTGGGAGCGATTTCAACCTCTTTGAAATGATGCTGTTGGATAAAAGCACACTGGCAGAAGCAATGCATGGTAGAATGGAAAAGTAAAAGCACAAATACCAAACACCCTTCATCTCCTCCTTTGATTTCGTGGCTTTTGTGAGAAACTTTATAATCGAACCAAATTTTGACCAGTGCGTTGACTCTAAAATATAAAGAAAGCAAAAGCAAGAACTTGGAAAGTGATGTTTGGTCAGTTGAAAGTCAAAATATATTAACTAAGTCAATCTCAAATCCTCAACTATTTTCCATAACTTAAGAGAAGTTATGTTTGAAATTGGAAGAACTTCAATACTAAATTACACTAGCTTTGAAATTAAGCCATCCTTAGATGAAGAAGGTTTGCTCGTAACAAGGCTAAATTATAAAAATAATTAACTAATATAATTTTTTTCAACCAATCATTAAGAATGTACTTCAATAAGTAATGTTTAATTTTGGGGATTAATGTTACTTATGTTGTAGGAGATAATTCTATCTCTTACACACGTAAAAGTGGGTAAAGTGGGTGAGGCCTATATGGGGACATATGAAGATAAGAGAAAAAAAATATGAGCACCACACAATTTTATATGTGTGTAGAAAATAAAATTATCTCCTACAACATAAGAATCATTAATCCCTTAATTTTAATCTAAGATGAAACTTGCCTAAGATGGTTTTTTTTTTTTTTGGGCAAATAAAAGGGCCGGTGCCCAAAACAACACTAAGAAAACTAAGAGACTAACAAAGCACGATCTCTCCCAACAGAAGAGACATCAGCTAAATACAGAAATAAAAGATCATTTGGAGGCTCACGAACCAACACAGCATCCACTTCCTCCTCTTTATCCAAAATAAAGTTGGCCATCCAGTCTGCACACATGTTTCCTTCCCTGTATGTATGTTGAAGTTTAACCCGCCAATCTTTTTTGAGCCATGTCCGTATGCGAGAGACAATTTGACTCTCACGGACTGCTATACCAGGATGGGATAGTATAGTGATTGCACTACAGGAATCACTTTCCAGTTCAACATTGTGAAAACCTTCATTACAAGCCAATTCTAATCCACGAAGAATACCCCAAAGCTCAGCTTTATAAGAAGAACAATAGCCTAACTTATAAGCAAATCCACTTAGCCAATTTCCGCTAGCATCACGAAGAACACCACCACAAGCAGTAGGACTAGGGTTGCCGCGAGATGCTCCATCAGTATTAATTTTAATAAAACCATTCTCTGGGAAACTCCATGCCACACTTATGTTGATAGTTCTTCGGCCCAAGCAATGGCTATTTGGTTGAGAGAAAGCAGCATCAATATCAGTAACCAAATTTCGGATGATAATTTCCCTATTCATCCAACTAGGAATTGCATTACCATGACAAAGTTCATTTCTCCACTGCCAATATTTCCAGCAAGACACAAAGAAAACCGAAATCCAGTTACTTGAAACATTAAAATTCTTCCAACCGTTTAGATTATAATCAATCCAAATATCCAAATTGCTCGCAAAGAAAACAGAAATCAGATGAGGAAGAAGAAGTCTATTCCAAATTAATTTGATCTCAAAGCAATCCCTTAAAGCATGGAAAATTGTTTCACTAGCACTATTACAGATCGGGCATATGTCTAAAGAATCCCCCCACTGAACAATTCTATCCATGGTTAAAAGTTTACCATGAAGAATCTTCCACATCAAAATCTTGAATTTCTGAGGGCCCTTCCAATGCCATAAGGTTGACCATAATTGTTTCCTGTCATCCAAAACATCTCCATTGAATAAAAGAGACTCGTAAATCTTCCTGATCGAAACAGTTGGAGTATTAACAAAACTCCACACTTTCTTATCAGGCCCATCAGCACTCTTAGGGGGTAAACCACTTTTCAATTTGCTGATGATAGTAGGTATAAGGCACTGCTTCAAAACCTCCATGTTCCAACTTCCATCGAGCATAATCATGTCAGAAACCTTTTTATTGAAATCAATATTTGTAACAACAGGGAAAATCAAATCCTGTAATAAATTCTTTCCATCAATCCAATTATCAGTCCAGAAATTGATAACCGTGCCATCACCCAAGTTCCAGATTAGGAATTCTTCAAGCTTCCTCCAGATTCTACAAGTGTTCCTCCAAAAATTCGAGTCTCCACTTTTGTCCTTAAACAGATAATCTCTTCTGTGATGATTTGCATATTTGGCTTTAACAACCTGAACCCACAATTGACCTTCATCATTGAAAATTTCCCAAGCCCTCTTAGCCATAAAGGCATCATTCATGATCTCTAACTTCTTTAACCCCAGACCACCAGCTTGCTTTGGCAAGGTAATCGTCTCCCAATTGATCAAATGATGCTTACGTATTCCATCACAATCCCCCCAGATAAATTCCCTTTGGATTCTTTCAATATCTTTGCACACCGACAGAGGAAGCTTAGTACTTTGCATCTGAAAATAAGGTATAGCTGACATAACAAAAGTAGCCAAAGTAATCCTACCTACTTAGTATAAGCACATCTGATTCCAATTGTTAAGCTTGGATTTGACCTTCTCAACAATACCAGCATAAAGATCCTTCTTTACTCTCCCATGTTGCATCATAGATCCAAGGTACCTACCAACATTTTTAACCCTAGTGAACCCACTCCTCTGCACAATATCATTAATCAGATCATCTTTGGTATTCTTTGAGAAAAAAATAGATGTTTTTTCCACACTAAGCTTAAGACCCGAAGCTTCCTCAAATATGCTAAGACACTTTAGAAGGATATTCATTTGATCCACCGAAGCCTCCTTGAACACCATGAGATCATCAGCAAAAGCTAAGTGAGATATGTTAGGACCAGCTTTCCCAGCACGCATTGGTTTCCAAAGACCCCCATTAATAGCCGTACTAATAATGTGAGACAGTTTCTCCAAAGCAATTACAAACAGATATGGAGAAAGGGGATCACCTTGATGAATACCTCTAGAAGGAGTGAATTATTCAGTTTTACCTCCATTCCAGAGTACACTAAATTTGGAGGAAGTTACACAGCTCATAACCAGATGAACAAATTGATCAGGAAATGAGACTTCTTCCAAAGAGTGTTTAAGGAAATCCCAACTAAGACTGTCATAGGCTTTAACAAGATCAATTTTAACAGCCATGAAATCCTTCCTACCCTTCATTTTGTGCATTGAATGAATCATTTCTTGGACAATGATAATATTATCCTGGATTTGTCTCTTAGGAACAAAACTTGCTTGCCAAGGGGAAATAATCTTCTCCATAATAGGTTTTAATCTTTGAACCAAAACTTTAGAAACCAGTTTATATAAAACTGAGCACAAAGAAATAGGACGAAATTGAGAGATCGTTTCTGGTTTCTTAATTTTAGGGATCAAAACTAAGAGTGTGGAGTTAATATCAGAAACCAGTTCAGGATTGAACCAAATTCTGTTAACAGTCTGAACAACTTGATGACAGATTGTGTTCCATTGCCTTTGGAAAAAAGCAGCAGGATAACCATCCTCACCTGGAGCCTTATAAGCACCAATAGAAAAGAGTAATTTAGAGATCTCCTGAAATCTTGGAGCTTTTAATCATTTCATTTTTCTCATCCATGGATAAATCAGGCCAACAGGAAGGGGAAGAGATCCATTTCCTATGCAGATTTTCCTCTTGAAACAGCCTTCTATAAAAGTTGCAGACATGAGTCTTAAGTTCTACTGGATCCTCAATCCAGCCATTTGAATCATTTCGAAGTCTAGAGACTTTATTGACACTTCTTCGGATGATAGTTTTTAGGTGATAGAACCTAGTATTTTTGTCTCCATCCACTATCCAACTATGTCTTGATTTTTGAAACCATAACATTTCTTCCTGGTCTAGAGTTTGATCTAACTCATACTGAATTTGCTTTTCCAAATCTTGAAGCATAATAGAATCAGATTGACTTCTAATCTCCTGAATATCAGCAATTTTCCTAAACAGAGTTTCTTTCCTCCTAATAATATCACCAAAGACAGTCTTATTCCAATAACGAAGATGAGGAGTTAAATCATAAAGCATTTTGTTTATCTCCTTTGAACCATTCCACTTCTCGTGCATGAAATCCAAAAATTTAGGATTATCTAACCAAGCTGCTACAAATCGGAAAAGCCTTTCCTGCCAAGTCTTGTTTATTGCATTTAGCTTGATAAGTAAAGGATTATGATCAGAATTGATTCGAGGAAGACTTCTGACTTCAGTATTCTCAAATTTTAATCTCCAGAAAATATTGGCACACACTTTATCAAGTTTTTTAAAGATTCTATCTAAATGATCCCACTTTGGTCCCTGCCAAGTGAAGGTTGAACCAGAAAATCTAACATCCTCCACATGGCATGCCTCCAGAAATTCAGAAAATCTTTGACATTTGGTTAGATCAGTCCTTGAACCACCTTTTTTTTCACTGCTGGATTTTATATCATTAAAATCCCCAGCAATAATCCAAGGTTCAGAAATCCCCTGGCTAATGTTCTTGACATCATTCCACATTAACTGACGCTGCTCCTCCCTAGGACTGGCATAGATTGCTGTACAAAGGAAACTCTCAAAATGATTGTATTCAATCTTCATATGGATGTATTGGGTTGATTGAGAAATAAGTTGCACCATAAATTTCCTAGAATCCCAAATAACCCACAAACCACCAGAAAAACCATTAGCTTCCTCAAAGATAGCCTTACCAAATTTCAGCTTCTTCAAAATGGAATTACATTTGTCACTTTTAGACCGAGTCTCTAAAAGAATCACAATACCAACATCATTTTTATCCACAAACAGTTTCAAGGTTCGACCAATTTTGGAGTTAGCCGCACCCCTACAATTCCATATTAGAATGGACATCAAGACACCATATCTGAATTTGCAGGTTGTTCATGTCCCTGCGACATCTTACCTCTAGCCATGCTTCCTACAATATCTTTTACCTTACCTGAGATACCCCTGGGACTTGCACTTTTGTATCCTGCAGTGGAAGGGTCAGGAGGTTTAGGATCTTTAGGCTTATGGATTCTATTCTGGTTTTGTCCACCCTGAATAGAATGCTCAATATCCTTAGCAGAAAAATTATTCTTTGTTTCCATTTGGACAGGCCTACTACCACTGCCTTTTTGGATTGAGTCAACTTTGAAATTAACTCTATTAGTTACTCTTCTAGTACTGTCTTTATTTATGCACTCTTCTTTATTGTTCTTTTCCAATTCAATCCTATGATCTCCTCCAACCAAAATAAAAGCATTACTGGTTTCAACAACTTGAACAATTTCTTTATGACCTTTTTTCTTTGAGAAATTTTTTGGATTGGCCATCACTTGTAATTGTTTCCCCTCCCTATCCTCTGTAGCAGAATCCGAATGATCAAATCCAATTTGAGAAGTCATAGAAGATAAATTAGTCGATGGCTTATCCTTCTTCATAAGATCATCATGATTCCCTTTCGCCTCCTTTTTATTTTCCTTCCCTTGTTGATAATTAACTCTTCTATTTCTGTTAACCACCATCCAAGGACCATAATCGGATTTAGACTCATCCTCCATTTCAGCAGCATGATCTGTAGAATTAACATTAGTTATAAGTTTAACCCCCTCAGTAACAACAGCATTTTGTTCTTGTAAAGATTTTTTTGGGCAAGAATCCTCATTATGACCATATTTTCCACATCTATAACAGATCATGTGTAGTCCCTCATACTCCACCTGCTTATATCGACCTTCAATATAGAATTCAGCTTTTAATGGTTGACTGAGGTCTAATTCTATACATATTCGAGCATACTTTCCTCTTGATAGGGTTGTAGTCGCTGCATCAAGTTTCACAAATTTTCCCAGCCAATTACCCACATTCCTTATTAGCCATGTGTTAAGATATTCCGTGGGAAACCCAGGAAGGCGAACCCACGCTAATAATCTGCAGATTGGGGATTGGAAAGGATTGAAATCTACAGATGGTTTTATCTTGTAAGAAGAAGAACAAAAAAAATAAAAGTATAGCAAATAAAAAAAAAGTAAAACTAAAAGTGACAGAGAATGAAGCTACGAAGCACCGATACTTCAAAAATCCTGACGTGTTGTGTCTGACACTCTTCGACACTCCCCGACACTCCAACACGCATTATAGAAATTCAAAAAAAGTTCAAAGTTTGCGTTGCGTTGAGTTTTTAGTTCCAACTATTAGATTCATTGGATTACGATTACCATTTTATTGAGTTTAATATAAATATTTGGGATATCTTATGTTTCTTTGCAAAATTGATGAATATTATAAGTTTAGTTTCATTTTTTTTTTAAATTATTGAATATTTAATATAGTATACACTACAAAAATTAAAAATATTATTTAATATCAAAACGTGTCCTAACATGTCAAAATCTAACATTTTTTAGAATTAACGTGTCGAAGTATCATGTTGCATCGTATCATGTGTCCCGTGTCAGTATCGATGCTACGTAGGAATGAAGCAAGATTATAAGAGAAACCATTAAAAATGACTTTTCTCTATATGGATTCATTGAAAAATTGGGATAGGGTATTTTTGGATTTGACTTTTGTGTGGTATCTAATCATGTTTTGTCACTTAATGAGTTAAGCCTTGTTGGAATTGTTTTCAAAGTCAAAATCTATAAATGATGTGACACATGTGATCAAGTACTAGTGTAAAAAAGTTGGGTTTTATAATTCTCATTTAATTTGAGAATTGAAATCTTCCTATACATCCTTCGATTTTCGTATTGACGTGGGTCTTAGACATAATTTTTTCTAGCATATGTGTCTCACATATTTTTTGTCTCTACAACATAAGATTTCAATTCTCATGTAACTTGAGAATTATAAAACCCAAAAAAATTTCACTAATTATGAACCAAAATTAACTTTCAATAAAAATCAAATAAGAATTTCTATACTGAATTTAGATCTTCAATCCTCAAGCAAGTTTTATTTCAAAATCTATCTGTCTCTTTTTTTTGGGTAGACTAAAAAAAAATCCCTCTAAGCTGAGAGAAAGCTTTCTCCTAAATTTGGATGGCTAGTTACAAATCAATCCAAAAGCTCCTTCTCCGCGAACCGTTTACAAGTCTGAATTTACACATGGTTTTGGCCTAGGCGTATTTTTTTTTTTTAAATTAATTTTGTCAGGTCCTTGGGTTCAATGATCTTCGCTTGATAATATTTATTAAGTTTTGAAATTAATTTTGTTCTGGATGGCCCAACAACACAGCGGCCCAAAGGTCCAAGCCCAATCTCAACCCCCTATCCACGTCAGCCCTACCAACTGTCAGCCCCCTAAACCCCAACGCGACGACACTCCCTAGGGGAAACACCAAAATGTTCCGTCTTGGGACCCCAACCCCCAAAGGAGACCGCCCCAGATACCATAAGGGAAAACTTCCCTTTGTCACACGCTGACATCGCCAGGAACAGAGGGCGCATCGCTGTTATCATAGCAGCACCTGCCACGCCTAGCAGCGCCTGCCACCCTTAACAGATCCCAAGGAGGGTTGACCCCCTCCTCACCAACCCACACAAGATTCACATCACCTTCCCCTATAAATAGCCCCCTTGGCACACGAAGAAAGTATCTTATGTATCGTTATTCTACCCATTTATATTAAGTCACACATACACACTCCTAACCCATTGTTGGCTGCTTACTTCATACTTGGAATAGTACATCTTAGCTTGGTCTCTACTTGTGCTAAAGGTATCATCCATACAGTGATTCCATCCCCAAAGGGAACATAGTGGGCTTATAGATCCCAACCGGTACATTGGCGCCGTCTGTGGGAAACTATAAACTTCTATTCCCATTCTCCTACCAAAGATCTGCGAGAGGCATTTCATTTTCTGACAACTAAACATGGCTATTACGACAAGAAGAGCATAGCAGACCAGAGCCGTTACCCCTGAAGTTCATGTGCAAACAGTTCATTCTAGCTCCCCACCGTTTATGCATTCATCCCCTACTGAACAAGCAGTCGGCGAGGCGCTCCCCCTGGTGCTGCAATCTGTTGACCCACAGTTACCAGCAGCTGATGCTAGAGTAGCACAATTGAATCGTCGCATAGCCATACTCAACCCCTGCCACCTGGAGTTCGTTTCGGAATGCCACCCCCGCCGCTGGCCCGCAAACTATCCCACCAGCTTATCATCTACAACCGTCCTGAAGTCAGCCGGTGGATCTGTATAATGATCATCGAATCCCTATGGTCGCCCCATATCCCCCTGGACCTTACACATACAACGTGGCCGCCCTTTACCCCCCACATTTCCCTACTGGTTTTCCATTCCACATTTACGCAATACCGCCTCATAATGCGGCCATTCCACAACCTCAAGGATCATGTATGAATTCTGGCCTGCCACAATATGGCGCCCATCAAGCCCCAGCCCTCTCTTACTCTGTTGAAGCCCCACATGCACCTTGCTTACCACCAGACCAGCACGCACACAACCTGAACTTGTGGATAACGCCTGCTAATACTTCACGACGTAACAAACCCTTAACTGATAGCCTACGCCTAACCCTCACACCTCTCGGTTTCAAAGGCCCTTCCAATATCGCTACTTATGTTGGTGACACTGATCCCTTTGAATGGATCCAAAAGTTTGAAGCGGCGATGACCCTTCACGGTGAGACTGATCTCCTCATGTGCAGGACTTTCCCTACGCTTCTGGGCGGGAGAGCATTGACATGGTATACCACTTTACCAACTGGTATTATTGCGTCCTAAGATGATTTGGCAGGCAAGTTTCAAACCCATTTCGCAACCAGTCGCCCTGTGCCTAAATTTGTCCACTCCCTGGAAAAGATTCGCCAACAATCAGGGGAGTTCCTTAGATCCTTTTTGGACCGCTTTGATAAAGAGGCTCTGCAGGTGCAAGGTCTGGACCCTAAGGTACAGGTGCATATACTCCTGTCGGGCTTGTAACAAGGAGCATTCGTCTACGAGTATGCTCGCCATGAAATTACCGACCTAGAAGAGGTCAAGAAAAAAGCTCAAGAGTGTATGCAAATTGAAGAGTATAAAGGGAGCCAAGTCGACGATGCCCACAACTAAGAGAAGAGAGCCAGTAAAAGTAAGGACCACGTGGAAGAAGGCAGGAAGGGTCACAAACCCTCCAAATATGTTAGTCGCCCTTTGGGGCGTGACACCTCAGGACGCCAATCACACAGCGTCCGACAAACTGAATACAAAGAAGAGTGCAAGAGTAATCCACGGCATTAACAACCGACCAGGGAAGTCATCCCTATACTTCAAATTCCATAGCAGCAACGGCCATAGTTCCGAAGAATGCAAACACCTCAAAGATGAGATTGATGAGCTTATCAAGGGCGGGGCTCAAAGACGGGCGAGTGACGGTGCTCGTACTACCGGTTCTGGAAGGCGACACCGCGAGCGTAGTAAGTCACCGGAAAGAAGAAGAATTAACCAATCTGGTTACCAGCCCCGCCATAAACATGACCGAAGAGAAGACTCACCAAGAGACCGCAGAGTGCAAGCTAGCCCAAGCAATAGAGGAAGAAGGGAGGAAGATGACGAAGACTCAGCTGTCATCAAGCACGAAGTGATAAACATGATCTCAGGCAGATTGAGCGGAGGTGGAGAAACAGCTAACGTCAGGAAGAAACACTTGAAACAATGTTTGGCGGTAGCCGGCAAAGTCATCAACAAAGTGAAAGTTGATCCGGGTCCAACCAAGCCTAAAATCGTGTGGGACTACAGCGATTTGGGCGACGTCCTTCCTGGACATGATGACCCCCTAGTCATTCAAGCAATAATAGCCAATTTTGGCGTTAATCGCGTGTTTGTTGATCACGGCAGTTCTGCTGACATCTTGTTTTTACC